GGTCCCTTCCCACCCAAACTATTCCACTATGCCATTAAAATATTATCTGATCCCATTCTTCAACTCCCATGGACCACCAGTAGCCATACAACCTCTCCAGACTGATTCACAGAGCAACTACCAAGCCTATGCTCTGCTCCTGGGCACCAGAAACCAAAATTCTGCCTACGTCCCTCTCAAAATCTTTGTTGTAATTTCATGAAGTGAATTTGGTTTCACCAAGCTGAGGTTCTCTTGGGAGAGATTATCCAATAGAAGTATTATGGTTTTATTTCACACATTTGTGTTTTCATTTTTCTTACCCACCATTAATTCCCTTTGCACAGTGATGATCACTACATGCAGTACCACAAATAATCCTTTCAGCCAGAAGTGGCAGCTGGCCCTTATGGAGTCCTATTTTCTAAACAGTTCTTCTAGTGAATCCTGAAGAACACCAGAAACAGTTCTCACTTGGCTTCCACACCTTGCTACTCATGTTAACGGGGCTGCAAACACAGTAGAAACTTGGCCACACATTTAGTGACACAATTAGTTCCATGGCTGGTTTCAAAGCTTTGCACCTGCATCTGCTTCATTGCACTGCTACACTTGAAATGAGTAACTGAGCTGAATTTTCCTCTTTCAAGTCCTGTTACGTAGGAACTTAATTTCTCTGGCATCAGCACCAGTGTAAAGCCCTGATTCAGTGCAGCACAAGACAACAGTATTTGTTTTGGCATCAAGTGTTCTTTGCACCATCCATACCAGCAACCCGAGACAGCATTTCAATCCCATCTGCTGTAAAGCTGCTTAAATCAAAAGGTTAGGTTAAAAAATCCATAACATCAAGTACTTCACATAATGCAGCTCTTGGTTGTTAAATAGTGCTGGATTCTGCTGTGCTTCCACCTTCAGACCTGCTTTTTAAGCACCTGTTTAGCCAAAAAGTTCTCTTCTAGGGCCAAGCACAGAAGAAAGCAGCTCGCCTCCCTACACCCTTAGCTGAGAAGCAACACTGCCTGCCCTTTCTGAATCCATTTCTTTATTCCCAAGCCTTTGGGGTGTTCCAAGGCACACCAGCTTTTCTGTCAGACCTGGCCACTTCTGAATATTTTATCATTTCCTAACAATGCTCCAGCATAACCATTACTGTCATCCCTTCAAATGGCCTTTAGCAGACACGACACCCTTCTCCACACTTCTTTTTGCAGCCATCGAGGTTCAGAGCTTGAAATATCCTTACCTAGGCTGATTTTCCTGGGAAAGATTCTCCCCTCTCTGGTAACCATTGTCTGCCACCTGGGTTGTGGACCTCTTAACAATCTGCTTGAGCTCTTGCTCCAAGCGATCCTGGATGGCTTTCACCGTTTCGGGGATTTTTTTCAGCTTGGCCAGCCCTTTGATGAGTATGCCCATGAAGACAGTGCTGTTCTCCTCTGGATCCAGGTCTGTATCTTCTTTGATCTCCAGAAGGCTTGTTTCTCGCACTGGAAGAGATTTGAAAAGACATCAGCTGAGATTTAAAGGACTAAAACCAACACTTAGCACTGCACAGACGAAGCGTGGCGTCTCCTGGGCCTTCACACAACTCCCACCACTTTCAGCAACCAAAAACTGCAGGAGGAAACCAGCAGCACTCTGATTCTGGGGGAGGCAGGGGATATTTCTGTTTGCTTGGGGCCTTCCCTATAAAGACAACAGCCTGCACATTTGGCTGATGGAGCAACAGAGATCATGGTGTGAGCCCTGTTAAGAAACAGAGCAAGTCTGGTGTAATTAAGACATTCATAAATGAGAAGGTATTAGATCACTGCAAACGCCTTGAATGAGTTTCAAAGAGGTAAAAGCCCTAAATTTCTAACCCAGCTGTTTCCCTTCATTAAATTCTTCACAAGAGAGGAATTTTCAATACAAACAGTATCAAGCTTAACAGAGTTCTGATGAACTCGGCGAAGTTTGCGCTGCCAAAGCGAAGGTTGTTTGATGTTATCCCAGGCTGCTGCTTTATTACACCTGTCAAGGGGCTGGTGAAGTTACTCCCATCCTTCAGCAAGGCTGCTGGAAAGGAGAAGTGAGAGGAGTTAGGGAGGAGGCTGTGGATACAGCCCTCCTGAAGGAACAGGGCTTGCAGAGGGAGAAATTCCGTTGCCAAGCGACAGGGATCAGAACATCCTATGCTGAAGTGTGTTCATGAAGGAACAGTCCTTGATGTTCAGGTAACACCCAGAAACAACAGCAGCACCTCTAGTAAAGGCTGGGGGAGACATTTAAGACACGTATTCAAACACTTAGGTGAAGCAAGAGGCCTCAAGGCACACTTGAAGGAGCATCCTGGAGGGCAGTCGCACGGCTCACTAGCAGCTGGAGGGGCAGGGGACAAACAGCAGCAAGGGCTGTGGCTGCAGTGGTGCCACCCACCACCCCAGGTCCCCAAATTCAAACCCAACAGCTCTGCCATCATCCTGGGACTGAGCTCTGATGAGAGCTGTCTGATGACAGATGACTCCGGTGCTTTCTAGTGCTCAACAGATTTTTTTTACTTAAGTCAAACCTTTTCTAAGAACCTAAACAAATGTCATTTAAATCCTTCTGGTGGATCTTTTGACATGGCAGGGCTGTGGCTGCCGTGGGGCCACCCACCACCCCAGGTCCCCAAATTCAAACCCAACAGCTCTGCCATCATCCTGGGACTGAGCTCTGATGAGAGCTGTCTGATGACAGATGACTCCAGTGCTTTCTAGTGCTCAACAGATTTTTTACTTAAGTCAAACCTTTTCCAAGAACCTAAACAAATGTCAAAAGATCCACCAGAAGGATTTAAATGACATGGCAGAACTGAAAAGTGGCATGTGACATGCAGTACAGAGCCATGTAGCTGTCTAGAGATACAGCACTGAGCAGAAGAGCAGCAGCACTGCCTAAGTTAGCACAAGATCAAGAAAATGTCCCCAAAAACCTATTTGGTGCCACTGTATAAACAGCATCACAATGAAGAGAATTATTTGAGCAGCTTGCACCAGGCTCCACAGCAGAGGCTGCTTCTTGCCAGCAGTGTAATCCCACCTCCAGCTCAAACTCACACACTCCTGCACTTGAAGGTAGAGCACCAGCCAGGCTGGCAGGGGGGAGTGAGGTGAGAAGGGGTCCTGTGAGGTTATCCTCCATTGGGATGGGTGCTGACATCAGGGAGATCAAACAGTCCCTTTGTTAATCACTTAGACACTTCTTTTTTCCAATTAAAATCTATTTAAACACATAATTGGGGCATTACCTTAGACAAACACCTAGAAACATCCAGAATACACTGATTTAAAAAGAAAGGAGAACACAGGAGACACTTCAAACACACACAAGCACTAGTACCAGTTAGGAGTTAACTGACTGCACACAGGATAATGCTCCAAGCTCTCATCCACCCCACAGCTCCCAGCCCAAGAGGCTGCTGAGCACTTTGGGTGGACACAGGCTTGGTCAATGCTGCTTGTTAGTCTCAGAAACCCACAGTGTGCTGGGCACCACCACAGCAGAGGAGCTCTGTGGAGCACGAGCTGTGGAAAGACAGCCCTGGAGAGACTAGAGGAAGAAAGGTTTTAACTTGTTGCTTTTCACAAAAACCCAAATATCTCGTTCCTCAGAGCTCAGTGCCAAGATTCCACACCCTAACCAGCCTTTGAGAGGAGGGATTCTCCTCCTACTGCAGCCCCTTTGTAAGCAGGCTGTAGATTCTTCTTAGTATCCCCCAACAAAGAGCCAAGAGGGAGGAAATGCTGCTGCATCCAGAGGTGAGGACAGCATTTCAGAGGACTCAAGGCAGCAAACTCACCCTCAAACAGTCAGGACAACCATTTACAGCTCTTACAAACAACAGCAAAGCCAATAGTTCAATAGGTAGTAGCAAAACACTGGAATCTAAGTTTGGTTAGATCTGGCCTTTTGATAACAAAGCAGGGACCATGTCTCCTGCACGTTCATCCTTCATGCCATAAGCACTTGGCTTTATATAGAAAAGCCTTGAAAAAGTGAATTATCCTATGGAAGTTTGCAACTATTTTTAGAGAATCACTCTAAATTGTGGGCCTGATCTTCAGATTTGATTGGATTTAATCTTGTCTCCCTTGTGTTTCATCAAAGAAGAGAGAAGGGGGCAAAAAATATCCTATTTTCATTAAAATCAGCTTCCCTATATTAAAAAAAAAAGACAGGTAGAAAACACCAGAGAAGAACTCCATGGATTTCTTCAGTAATACCAAGAAGTAAATTCTCCACCCTCCTCCAGAGTATAAATGAAATGTGATGTCAGCTAATAAATATTTTAAAATTTCAATTATTACAGTTGCCCTACACCACCCCAGTGAAGCCTTTAAACTTCAACTGGCATTTTTAAACTACAAGACAACTTCCACGTGCTGCTTTATTGTCCCACCTCAGCTATATCAGCTCTTGCACATAGCCCCATGCAAGCCAAGAGAAACACTTGATTTGAGTGGAGCCTGGTCAAGGCTTTTCCAGCAATGAAAACGTTGAGCAGGACTCACCCTAGTAGGACTGCCAGCTGTGCCACCAGTGAGCAGCCTCCAAGCAGACTTTGTGCCACTCATCACCCCCCTATTCAGCCAGTTTGGGTCCACCTCACTGGCTGCTCATCCAGCTTGTACCTCTCTACTGGGATCTTGTGGAAGACAGCATCAAAAACCCTTGCTGAAGATCATCAGGTGGACATTCACTGCTCTCCTCTGGGCTACCAGCCTAGATGTTTTGTCCAAGTTTATCAAGGTAGTCAAGCCCTGGGTGAAGCTACACTGACTACTCCTGATAATTTTCTTATTCTAATGAACTCTAAATATCACTTATGAAGCCCAACATTGAAATATGGTTTCTCAAAAGCCTCCCAAGACACAACAACCTAAAAGAAAGATGATTTTGCCACATCCTCTGAAGAACTACCCAGCCACTTTCAGTTTTTCATCACTCATTTGTACAGTTCTGCCATTTCCCAGCAAAGAAACCTGCTGCAAGAGGCACTTTAACAGCTCTGGGCTGATGCCCAGCAGAGCCAGTGTTGATAACTCACTTAGGCAAAGCAGCTGAAGAAAAGACTCGTGGGTCTTGTTTTTCATTCCAATGAATGGTCAGGATTTGCTGCTGCTCATTACAGAAAATTTCATTAGCTGTGTGCTTTGATGGCAACTAGTAAATTTAATGCACTATTTCCCATGATTTATGTCCTTTCTGATTATGCCCTTTCTGCTTTCAATCCTTCTAGAGAAAGGGATGGAAGTTCATCGTGCCCTAAAGGCATCATTTCAGATTTGAAGAAACATCACCTGCTGATTTCTGGTGCTGAATCCTTCTTCTGATCATTGAATGGAGACAATAAGCAATAAATGGACAGTTATTTTAGAAATGGGTCCTGTAAAGATTTTATTCATTTCCTCCTCTGCCTGACTACCAAGCTCAGAAGAAAATGGGTCTGGGAGATCAATAACCTCAGAGCCTCAAGGCAAATCTCCTCTTTCTGGAAGTGTTGTTCACACAGTCCCAGAGACAGCTGTAAGAATGTTAGTCTTTCAAAAACAGTGGCATTTTAATTTGACAAGGCCACTCTTTCAAATCCACTGGAACAACATTTCATGCTTAGAGAACTGCACAAAGCAACTCTAAGCCACGCTCAAAATCCTTCTGCAAGCATAAAAACTGAGCCTCTAAATCAAATCTTAAGTGCACAGTAGTCAAATACCTTAAATTGGGACCAGGTGTAAGAACATCTAATGAAGGAAGAGTGACTAAGCTCTGTTGGCTTTCACCATATGGATCTAAAAACCTCCATTTTTCCCTTTCCTTCCCCAGATTACAGACATCAGTGCTTAGCATCAAGTCAGAACACCAACCACTAGTGAGAAAAATCATGGTCCTGCAAAAAGAGACCCACAAAAAGTCACCTGAGAGGCTTTTCATGTTTATTTAGTTGCAAAGCCTTCTTCAACTGCAGGAATTAACTTCTTAAAGATCCTAGGTGAAAAAATTTACCCTGAGATAAGAACACAGAGCTGCATGAAAAGCAGAGTTTGATGACAGCAGGGGAGAATCAGACTCACTGCTGAATCCCCACCAGCTTCTGATCAAGCCCTCAGTTGGATTTGTGCAAATGGGAAGCAGTTAAAACAGGAAAACTCTGCTTCACTGAGGGGATCATTTAACTTTTAGTGAAAATGAGGGAGAAAAATCACCCAGCTGGTGTCAGTTCCTCAGGTGAGGTTAATAGGGGAAAAAAAAAAAAATCTTTTAAGTATTCGTGGAGCATATTTGAAGTGGCAGCAACTGTGACAAGGAAGAGAAAGTCTCAATGGCCTTTCAAATTGGACCCTGAAGCTCTGGCTCCTGCAGGTGTTTTGCAGGGCCAAGCTCACAGGTCTCTCTACACGTTTTCACCTACACAGAAGTATTTGTGCTCTTGAAGAAACAGAGCCAGGAGCAGCAACTAGATGAACACAGAAGCCACCACACCCTGCTTGGATGGAGAAGCTACAATTTCCTCTTAGAGCTGTGTCCTGAAGTATATTATCTGTTTAGCATAAAATTTGCATATGCCATGGATAACATTGTCACCACCCTGGCTCATCTTTGTCAGCTTTCTACAAAGTATTCTCAGGAATTTTTGGGGGGGAAAAGGACACTCTTGGGTTTGCTGTGTGCTGGGTGAGCACATTTTCTAGTTCCAGGGAGAGCCTGGCAATGCAGGGACCTTCACAAACACTCTGAAGAGTACAGAAGGTTCAAGCAAAGGAATATAATTTAATTTCTCTGAGCTGGCATGAAGGGAAAAGGTTACTGGGGAACAGTCGTATCTACAATCCTCAGGTGAACACCACTGAAGGTTTTGTTGATATTCAACGTGGCAGGAACAGCTTTAATTTCCTTATAAAGATGCTGCAGGACAAGGTAACATCTCCTTGGGGAAGCAAAGGCAGAAAGGACTCCAAATTTTGGCATCATTGTTGAGTTGGATTGAATGAGTCAGTCTTTATAAGGACACTCATTAATATGCACAGCCACTTTTGTTTCATCAACAAAAAGCCAAAGAACTTAAGTGACTACAGGCAGAAACAGCTTTTGTTATGCACACACATAAGTTTCAAATTCTCTGGTAGTTCCTCAGTCCTGGAAAAGGCTACTTTTAAATAAAATTACTTGGAAAAAATATACATAAGTACATTGTGCACTTGAAGGAAAACCATCTGCATACATTATGCTGATCAAATGTTTTCCATTATCATCTACATCTGTCCCAGCCTGAGGGACACTCACCCAGCACTCCAGGGAATGGTACCAAGTCTAAGGAAGAGCCAGGTAAGAGATTTTCTGGTGTATTGGGCACAAAGAGCAAGAAAAGATCTGTAGAAATGAGAATTTTTAGGATTCACATTCTCTACTGACCTATACTGATTTACTGGAGCTGGGGATGAAGCCACCAGAGCTTTGTTCCCAGGCATCTGGAGTGAAAGGAGCAATGCCATTTTCTGACAGAACCCCACAGAACCCCAGTGTGGTGGGGTTGGAAGGGACCTCTGGAGATCATCTCATCCCACCCCCCTGCTCCAGGGGGGCAGGAGACAGGAGCTGGGCCAGGGTTGGATCAGATCATCCTTGGGGTCTCTTCCAAGCTGGGATTGTATGAAAATCAGTGCAGTAAACTTGAACTGGCCCCTGCTGAAGGAGAAGGGTGGTACACACAAGGCTCAGTGGTCACCAGGCCCAAGGCTCTGCAGAAGCACAGTGCTTGGGACTTGGCTTTACAGGCAGAACTGCACTAGTCCAGCACAAACACTCCATAAGCATTTATCTTTACAAACAGGTTTACACTGGCAGCAGCTAAAACTTCTTGCCCAGCTTTGGATAGGAACAAACCTCTTACCAAGCTCAGATGTGATGACCATTGGCTAGGGTCTGTAAGTCTGTAAAGATGACAAGTGTCAACAAAACTCTTTTCAGAGCATATGTAATAGTCATATAACACTAGCAATAAAAAAGAATCTACTAAGGAAGACACTAAAGGTCCTGAGAGGAGGACAGGATTTCCATTTTTCAATAGCTGCACCTCCTGATATCTACTCCCCAGCAGAAGGTGTCATGGTAGATCCCCATCAACTCTAACTCCAGAGAGGACTAAAATTTTAGGTGGAAAAGGAGAAGGAAACAGGTTTGAGATTCAGTTTTTTTTGTGGTTTATCTCCTCAGCTCCCCAAAATCATGTGATCTTTAGCAAGAAACTGGAGTTCTTACTGCTCACAAGGGGAAATAACAGGAGTTCTTAAGGGCTCCCCCCCAGCCCTGAAGTTTCACACAGTTCTTCTCTTCCAGGTTTCCAAGCTCAAGCTGCAGTTCCCAGCTCTGAATGTTTGTATTGGCACATCACAAGTGACTCCTGACAAATCCCCACTCTGCAGAAATGTCACCTCAGGCACTGAGAGACTAACCAGCCCTACAGGAGCAGGGCCAAAGAACTGAAAGCCCTACAAGAGCAAAAGATAAGGATGGTCAACTGGAAGAGTCTAGGAGGGAAGCATGACGAGAAAAACCAGAAGCAAGCAGACATAAATAAGGAGAAAAGAACTAAGGAGAAGAGAAGGGAAGATTCTCTGCATTTGAGGAGTACTAAAACAGTCAAGTTCTGAAAGGAAGCAGGGGGAGAGATGTAGGTCACTTCTGTGCCACTCTTTTTAAACAAGGATGACCCCACTTATTAATCTACTGAAAGAACACCAGGATTCATTCCCATCTGTGCAGCAATTCCAAAGCCTCACACAAAAGCTCCAATGAAAACCAAGTGTTTTGCTCAGTGTTTGCTGTAGTAACAGGAATACAAAGATCACCACCCATTATTCCTGTCTGTAGACAGAACTTTAGTCCAAGTTACCAAGTTCCCACCAGGAAAAGCTTTGACCTCTTGGCTCCAACACCACAAGAAACCTTCTGCAACATCTACATATAGAATCACAGACTGGTTTGAGTTGGATGGGACCTTTCAAGGCCATCCAGTCCAACCCCCTGCAGGGAGCAGGGACAGCCCCAACTAGAGCAGGTTGCTCAGAGCCCTCAACCTCCCCTGGGATGGTGCCAGGGATGGGGCAGTGACCACCTCTCTGGGCAGCCTGGGACAGGGGCTCAACACCCTCAGAGTAAAACACGTCTTCATTCACTCTAAATCTCCCTCTTTGAGTTTCAAACCACCTTGTCCTGTCACAACAGGCCCTGCTCTACAAATTAATCTACCAATAAATGTTCTGAGGAATGCATATGACAAATACTCACTGCTGGAGCTCCCAGGAGTACTGAACTGGGAAGTCTCAAGGAACTTTCGAGGTGTAGACAAGTTAGTAACATCCATAAGAGGAACAGGAGAAGCATCTTTCACAAGTGAACTGTGGGAGGGAAAGAATTCAAGAAGTTGACTGTTATTTACTATCTTAGTTCACAATAAATAATCCCTTTCTTCCTCAAATTCATAAGCCTAAGCAATAGATGCACAACCCAGTTTTGATACAAGAGGTTTACAAAACCTAAATGTAATTCTGTCAACAGCTTCATCCTTCAAGCTTCTCCAGTTCTCACTAGAACCTCCACCCTTTTCCCTCCCCTCCCCACTCCTGTTCTGTGCACACCTACACGC